GCCCCCTTTTCCGTGCTGATGTTCGCACCGTTCTTCGCTCTCTGCGGTGTGGCGCTGCGCACCATTAGGAATGCCATGCGCTGACCTCGTGTGTCCGCAACCCCTGCGGCGGGGGCCCGGGGCTCTTGCAACGCCGCCTGTGGCCTCCTTCTCCCCGCAGTGGTGGCTGCGGTGTGGTGGGGGCGCGTTGCGCCGAGCCTTGGGGTTGCCACGCCGCCCTCGCTTGCGGCGGGAGGTGGGGGGCGTGGGCGGCTGGGGCGAGTGTCCCGCCTCTCTGTCCCCGCGGGGCCGGCGGTGTGGCCTCCCTGTGGGGCTTGCGCTGCGCCGTGCGCGGTTGCGGGGAGGGGCGATGCAGCCCCAGTTTTTTTTTTTTGTCTCCCTCCCCGCTGCCTGCGGCCAAGCCTCCTGCGTGGCCACGCGGCACTTCCCACCCTTTTTCTTCCTTTGCCTCTCCATTTCTTCCTTAAAAAAATAATTGATTTTCCCCTCTGCTTTTCCCTCTATCTCTTCTTTTTTTCATTGTTTGTTTGTTGTCGTTTGTGGCCCTCTCCGCTTGCCGTCCTCATTCTCGAGGACAGAACCAATCGAGGAGGCACCGGCGGGTGTGGCGGAAGAAGGAAGACAACCGTCGCGCTTGACTCTAAGAAAAGAATATCTGCGGGGGCAACGGAGCACGTAGGGGTGGGAATGTACGCTGTGCTCCTCTTTCTCTTGTCTCTTGCCGTGCTTGGCGGCGGCGGCGGCGCACGCGGGGAGGAGGTGCGGAAGAACGACGAAGCGGTGGCGCGGCTGCGCGAGGCGTTGGCGGCGGAGGGCGTTGACCCTCTGCCGGAGCCGCCCCGTGAACTTGGGGTCCACGCGGCCTGCATCCGGCACGGCATGGGCTGCCCCGACACCTACGTGGGGTTCCTTCAGGGGCTGCGGAGGGCCCCCCACACATCTCCCGAGGCGGCGGCGCAGGGTGGGGCTCCGCAGGGCCGAATGCAGCCCAGCGAAGGGAGACGGGGAAGAGAGAGAGGGCGCACAGATCGCGAGGTGATTAGTGAGGCAGAGCTGGAGAACCTGCGGCGTCTGCGTGACGTGTTACGTACGCGGTTGGCCGAGCTCCAGTCACCCGAGCGGCAGTGGAAGTGCCAGGAGTTTCGCTGGCTTCGCAGAGGGCTAGTGATTGCCCAAATGACGCACAACTTAGTTGTGGAATACTACTGGGGGTTTGTCATTCAGCGTCTCCTCCCCTGTGTGCTGTTCGTGACGCTGACGGTGTGGGTGCTGTTTGGCGATCGTATTCCGCGGCAGCACATGCGCAGTCTGCTTGCCAAGGATCCCCTCTGCATCTTGAATGAGGTGATCACCCGCCGCAATTCCCCACACTCCGTGGCGGAGCTTGTGATGAAGCGTGAAAGCTACAATGTCACTGAGATCAGTGACCCCGAGGACATCCACGTCCCTGGTTTTCGTGCCGGCTTTGCGAAGATGAAGGAGGACTCCCTGCGGTCGAGCGCCAATCACCGTCGCGATCGTTGGTTTGTCACACGCTTTGCCCTGCTTGAGGCGCACCATGAAACCCACATTGCGGGTGTCGTCCTGCGACTTCGCTTGGCGCTGAGCGCGGCGGTGCTGCTGGTGCTCTGCTGGACGCTGCTATCCCTCGTCCTGCGAGCATCGGAGATGCGCAGGCGCAGCGATGGCGGGGCCCTGCATTACCTGCTCACCATGTTTTGCCCCTCGTGGGTGACGACGTCGCTCGTCCTCTACGCGGGCTGGTCGTGGGTCGGCGGGATGGTGGCGTACGCCGCGTGGGAGCTGGTGGCAGGGGGGGAGGCGCTCGTGCGCTCCGACGAGCGGGCGGCGGCCCTGCACGAGAAGATCCTGCAGCGCTGGAGCGGCTGACCGGGCGGCGGTGCTAAGGCGCAGCCAGCGGTAGAGCGGGGAAGCGGGAGTGCGAGATGTAGCAAAGAAAAAAAAGCGAAAAGAAACAAAAAGGGTGGGAAACGAAATCGGAAGCGAAGAAACGGTACGTGATGGAAGAGGCAAAAATTTTTTCTTTGTTTTTTTTTTTTCGTGTAGACTTGACGGAGAGGAATGGGAGCGCATAGTTTTTGCGACAAGCGACTTAGGACTGGGGGTGCGCGCTCGCCCCAGCGGGGCGAGGACGAGGACGAGGTGAAGGCACCGCAAGGCAACTCATCTCTTTTTTTTTTTTTGCGCCGTGTACGACCCGGAAGCGCCGCTCCACCGCCGCAAGCTGCCGCCGCTTTTGCGCCCATGGCGCCTGCGTCCCGGCGCGTGTATGCTAAGCGAGGGGGGGGGGGACAGTGCCACCGCCCCGTCTCCGTGACCCCGCACGCCTGCCTTATCCTCTGCCTGCCTGCTTTTTTTTTCCATTCTCTTTCTGGGGGATTGGGGTTTCGTGCACGCTGCGCCTCAACCGAAAAAATAATTATAATACAAAAAAACATAATGGCAGCGAAGGAAGAAGCAGAGTAACGACAGCGGGAGCGAGCGGTAGGGCGCAGCCAGAACATCTCCACTGCAGACTAGAATGGGTGCCATAGAGCAGGTGACGGTGTACGCCGATGTGCGCGACACACGGCTGCTGGAGCAACTCACCACAGCCGTGCTCGCGCTGTGCAGGAACTGCACCATCCACCCGCTCCCTGCCTCAGACGCCGCGGACCCACTACTGTTTTTGCACCTTTGGGAGAAGGAAAGGGATAATGTTTGGGGGTACGTGAATAATAGCGTCCCAATCATGCACCGCCTCGAGTGCTTTGTTACAGACTCAAAGAACCAAGCAGACGGGGTTGTGGCGTATGCGTTGTACTATCGACAGATGCCTGTGCTCTCGCTCGCCGCCGCCGTCACTGGCGCCAAGGAGGAAGAGGAGGCGGAGGCGAGCGAGGACTGGGTTACCGCCGCACTCTACTCCACGGCCGCGGGGCTGGGCTGCGCCTCCCCCAGCGAGGCGCTCTCCGCCTTCTTCACCTTCCCGAAACTGGCGGGCAAGGTTGTGGCGCTGGAGGGCGCGTGCGACACGCTTGTGACGGGGCAGGGCCGGCTGTTGCGCGACTACCTGCGCCGTGCGTGGAGCCTGCCGGTGGAGCTGGTAGGAGCCGGTGGCTGTGACTTGCGGGCCTCCGATCCGGCTGGGGGGGCGCCGGCGGCTGCCAGCGAGGAGGCGGAGCCGGCCGTCTACGCCTCGTTGATCGATGAGCTTCTGCGCAACCCCGAGCTGCGCCCCCTCCGCGACGCGGACCCGCAGCTGCACGGGGCCCTGTGCGCACTTAACCGCCACCACAACCTTCGCCTGCTGCGATACCGGCTGCAGCGCGGCATTCACGTCCTCCTTTGCCGCCCGCTGTCGTTTGTCCTCGAGTGTCTCTTCCGCGGTGGGGCGGCGCAGGCGACGCCGCCGTCGCGGGACCTGTCGGGCGTTGTGGCTTCCGTCCAACACTTTGAACACCACTGGCTGGGGTTGCCGCGGGCGCAGGTGATTCTGATTCGCGAGAGGGATGCCGCCGCCGCTGCGACCAACGCCTCTCAGACGTGGGAAGAGGCTCTTTTGGGCGAGGGGCAAACGCCCATCCTCGGCGCGCTCTCGGGTTGGCGCGTCGTGACGGTGGTGGGCGCCGCAGGCGACGGTGGGCGGCCACCGGCTCAACTGGACGACGCGGTGCGTGACGCGGCGATGTCCGTCTTGGCTCCGGCGGCGGCGGTGGCGGTGGGGCAAAGGCACGAGGGGGAGTGAGGCGAAGAAAAAGCGTTCTTTTTGCTTTCATTGTTCTTTTTTTCCGTGACTTTGTTGCGAGTTTCCTTTTCGTTTTGCCTGAACTTTTTAGTCTGCGGCTGCCTCACACATTCTGCACTGCTTCTATTTCTCTTTCCCTTTTTATGTGACTGTCTAGGCGGTGTGTGTGTGCGTGTGTGCGAGCGCCTGCGAGGAGGGCGGGCTTCTGCGCATGGCGAAGATCAACGCGACCTACAGCTCCGGCTACTACCTCGCGCCGGACACCGACTACCGCAAGCTCGAGGAGCAGCAGCAGCGGGAGCGGAAGCGGCGGCGGCAGGAGGAGCGGGATGGCGACGCAGACGCGTCCGCCGCCGGCGGGGCCATTCGACAGACGTTCGCGATACCGTTCAACGTCATTTGCCTGCACTGCAACCGCCGCATCGCGCGCGGGACGCACGGGTACGTCAACCGGCGCCCGACGAAGGAGAAGTTCATGGGCATCCGCATCTGGGAGCTCGAGTTCCGCTGCATCTTCTGCAAGCGGCACATCTACTTGACCACGGACTACGAAACCGCCAAGCTGACGGGTGGGTATCACTGCAGCCGCAACTGCAGGCGCGGTGAAGGCGACTTCTACGGGACGAATCAAATCAATGAGGCCATTCGGGCGAAGCAGGCGACGGAGGAGGCGGAAAAGGGGTCACTGGATGCATTGGAGCGGGAGAATGAGGCGATGCGGCAGCTGCAGGAGCGTGAGCGTCTGATCGAGGAGCTGGTGGAGTCGCGGGCCGCCACGGAAGAGGAACAGACCCGCGACGAACTCCTGCAGGCGATCCAGGCACGGAAGCGGGGGACGGCGACGCGCCAGCACGAGGGCGAGGCCAGGGAGGAGGAGGGGGAGGAGACAGGCGACCCCGTAGACAAGGCCTCTGCCGACGACGAGGACGACGCGGCCTACCGGCGCTTCGAGGCGCAGCTGCGGTACTGGCAGGAGGAGGCGGAGCGGGCGCTGCAGGGGCACCCAAGAGGTGATGCCGGGGCGGAGGACAAAGTGGCCGCGACGATCACAGCCAAGTACACCGATCACGGGGACAAGCGGCGGAATGTCTTCATGGGCGGATCGGACTCCGGCTCCGACACCGAGGAGGACAAGGGCGGCCGTGGGCCCCCCATGATGGCAGTGAAGAAGGATCCAGGGAGGCCCCTGGTGGCAGCAGCCGGCACTACTTCCACTACTACTACTAAACGCCGCAACGGTAGCGCGCTGGCGTCCCTGCTGGATGACTTGTAAATTCTCCCGCTTGTCGCGGAATCAACGAGGACGAGCGCGCGGCACTTTTGTGTGCGGTGCTGAGAAAGAGGGGTTCTCTTTGAAGTGATGCTTACGTTGTTGTTGTTGTTTCCTCTTCGCTCGCTTGCTTTCTCGCCACTTCTTCCACAGCAGTGGCGCCACTTGTCCCTTCATTCACTCTCCTTTACAGAAGTGTAGGGGCATACATATACACACACACAGACACACAAGGAGAGAGAGAAAAAAAAGGAGTTTTCACTGCTCTCGCCCAAACTTGTTACAGTCAAATAACAACAAATAACTGAGGCGCAAAGGCCTATTGTTTCCTTGCAGTGCCTCCTTCAGTCACGCGGTGGTGGTTCCTTCTTTTTTTTTTTTGTGTGTGTGTTTTTTTTTTGCTTAACACACCTGACGTGGGCGCCGCACACAATCTCCTGCTTGCTGACGTGTCTGTGTTTGCGGGATGCTGCGGCCTGGCGGCGACGGACAGTTTGCTTTCCTTCCGGGGTCGGCGTATCCGGGGCGCCCCCCAAGCGCTGGCGCCGCCCCACATGAGGGGAGGACAAAGGTGCTGGCCCATAACCCGTTCTCCACCATGGGGAGCTGCAGCAGTAGCGCTAGTGAGCATGGCACGCCTAGCCGGAGCGGTTCCGCGGCGCCCTACCAACGCCCCCCCGTGCCATTTGGGGCGGCAGCTTCGCTTCACACGAATGCCCCGCCGGCTCCCAGTGCCGTGGCCGCGGCATCGCAGGAGAAGCAGCCGCTCGCACACACACCGCATCTAACAGCACCGTCACAGCAGCAGCAGCAGCAACGGCAAGAAGAATCGTATCAGCGTCACCAGCAGCCGAGTTTGTCCTCAGCGGAAAGGCTCTACAGGTTCCCGCAAAGAGTAGCGGAAAACGCCGCTGCGGCATCACCGTTTACGACTGCCCAGGGAGCAGCGCCGCCGGCCGTTGCGGAGGCCGCGGGGGCCTATCTAACTCCGTCGGCGAAAGTGCTGCGCGGCGCCTCGCTGAATAGTCTCAGTTCGGCGGCCTCCGGCTTGGACAGGGCTTCAGCTGAGCCCAGTGCGAAGAGGTCATCGTACTTGAGAAATTTGCTTAAAAAGGAACCGCCGGACTTTTTGAAGCCGTCTCCGGGGGGCCCCGTGCGGCGACGGTCGTCGGCTGGGCCAGGGCGTACGCCCAGCCCGTTGGACGGGCGGCTGTCAAGGCTGCAGGCCAACGGCAGCTCGCAGGTGGCCCAAGGATCCCGCTCAGGCAGCACCGGAACTAACGTTGCAGGCGAGCCCCAGCATATGCGAAAACAGCCCTTGCACGATCCCGCTTCTGCGCCTCGTCCGCCGACGCCGAATGGAGGTAAGCAGGCCTCTTCCCCATTCACCAGGGCCTCCATGCCGGTGCAACGACTCAACTCTAGCAACTACGACAACGCCGACGCCAACGCCAACGCCAACAGCTCCTCTGTGTCTATTCCCGCAGGGACCCAGGCCGGACTCCCACGGGTTCTCTCGACGGTAGCAGCGCAGGGGCCGCAGTTTTTCTCGAGAAGTGTTGGGGGCTCCAACACGCAGTTTCCCTCTGGTTCATCTGGGGCAAATGCCACGGAGAAGTCCCTTCATGGCGGTGGCGTGGAGGAGCAGAAGCTTTTATTCCATAGCGTGAGGCCGCAAGACGTAGACGCCTGTGAAGGATCGGCGGTGGGCTCTGAGGTGAAGCCACACCTCGCTGTGAAGGAAGGGGATACCTCACCTTTTGCACAGGATTCACGCTCAGTAACCAGCGAGGCGTCAAGTGCGGCTAGTGGACTGGACGGTGTTGCATCGCCCGCCTTGCCGCGAAAGAAGACGGCGCTACCAGACGAGGTGCCCAAACTCAACTTGCTTCCCAACAACACCGGCGTGGTGGCTGGAGATCTGCCGCCGCCGCCGCCGCCGCCAAGGCCGAATTCAAGAGCTGGCGATTTTGCCGCTCCGTTCCTGCCCACCTCGGCGGACGGGTCGGGACAACGTCAGGAGCTAAATACGCCGCGGAATGGCGGGATGGGGCTACAGATGCAGAGCAATCCATGCCAGGCAACGCCAGGAAAGGAGACGGCGGAGGTTTCACCCGCACCCCTCCGTCCTTCCCGTCAGGCGTCAGAGGAGGTGTTTTTCGGGGCCGCTGCAACCGCCCCAGGGGCGAGTGAAACCACCCGCGCTGGAGGCCCTGCGCCTCGTGGCGGCGGCGACGTTGATGAACCTTCGCTGAAAACCCAACAACCCACTTTGGCTTTTCGCGATTTACCTACCACCATGGTGAGGCTTGGTGCTGCCGAACTTCGTCCAGCTGCGGCGAAGGCGGAGGCAGCGAGGTTTGAGCCGCAGCAGAGCACAAAGATCACGTCGGAAGGGCCCCCTGCCGTGGCGAGTGTGCCACCGCCACCAGCACCGCCTCGGGCAACATGTTCGACATTGGCGTCACTAGAGCGGTCAGATGTTTTTGGCGAGAGGGCGGAGGCTTCGCCTGACGTCCACGAGCCGCCTCTCCCGGCACAAAAACGTCCACCGCATCAACGGTCCAGCAGAAAACCATGCCTTGCCTTATTTACTTCGACTGGGCTTGTGGTTACGGTCTCCAATGCGGCTCGTCCTGGCGGTTTGGCAGTTGTGAAGTCAGAGCGCCTGGTAAATGTGCTTTTCGGACGTGCGCAGAATGTGAAGTGCTCCAAAGTTGGGGAGGAGCACGGAAGGACGTTGCAGCTGTTGGCTGATTCTTCTTCTGCCTTGGTGTCTGGCGCGAGTAATGGCGTGCCACTGACGACGCTTCGGGACGTAGTGGCGAAAATGACGGGTATCGCGCCGCTGTTTCGGGAGGTTCTGCTTTTTATGTTGCGTGACCCACAGCCTGATTGGCGCACAGAAGGGCAAAAGTATCTGATTAAACTACTCGCCAAGGAGGCGGCGCGGGTGCCGATTGCGGACGAATCCTGCCCGAATTATCCGTTAAATGCGGAGGCCCCACAAAATTCAGCCGAGGATTCAGCGAGGGGGCTGCAAAAAATGCAGCAGTTGCTGTGCGCAGGAGAGCGTGAGGCTGCGGTGGGGGTTGCGCTAGAGCACCACCTCTACGCACACGCCATCATCGTTGCAATGATGTGCCCCAAGAAGGAGGACTACATGGGTGTTATTCGTGCTTTGGTGCAGCAGGAGCTGGACCCCTTCTCTCCCCTGGCGCACGCCTACTGCATGTTTAATGAACTGCCTCTCCCGCCATTTGCGCCGGCGCCGGCGCCGCCGCCCTCGCTGTCCGTGCCCGTGGCCCCCGCGTGTGATGCAAATGCTCGAATTCGTTCCTCATGGTTGCAACATGCAGCAGTTTTGGTGTCCAACTTCACAAAGGAGAGCGCGGAGGGGCTGGTGCAGCTCGGAGATTCTTTGGTGAATGCGGGGATGATTGATGCGGCGCACTGCTGCTTCTTGCTGGCCCACCTGAGTCCTATGGGAACCCCGCCGCCCGGCCGTCCGCTCCAACCCAAGCAGCAGCACCTCATGGAACTGCTGCGGACACGCTTGGGCGTCCTTGGCGGGCGCTATCATCCCCAGTGCTCTCGTAGTGCGTTTGTGTCGCCAAAGTCGACGCTGCTGACGGACGTTCTCCAGTTATTTCGCTCCCACCTGGAGAGCCGCGGCTTGGCGGCCACGGAGGACGGCGGCAAACGCTCTCCGCAGCACGGAATTCCAGTCTGCCCGGAGCGGTACAGAGCGGCCTTTCACTACATGCAGGTGTTGTGGCTGCATGAGGTGGGCCTGGGTGAGGAGGCCTCGCGGCTCATGCGTGAGCTTAGTCGGGTTGTGCCACCAGAGTCGAAAAGCGGCTCAGCGTTTACGTTGAACCGCCTCATTTCTGGTGGGGTTGTGCCACCTGCTGCTTCTGCTGCTGCTGGAGCGGAGCAGCTGGCGCCAGCCGCAGGGAGACAAGCGGCAGGGCAGCCGATGCGCGAGGGGCGCGTCTCGCTGCCGGTGTCGATGACGCTGCCGGCTGCGAAGGGGCCGGTGGGTCCACTGCCCGATCGCCGGCCGACGTCCGCGCCACCGCCACCGCCACCGCCACAGCAGCAGAAACAACAGGCACCACCACAACCACCGTCGGCGCCCTCGCTGCAGCCGCAGAAGCAGACGTTGCCGCCGTCGCCTGCACCACCGGCTCTAAAGCCGGGTGCGCCCCCGATCCCAGGAGCGCCAAAGTTTCCTCCTCAGAGAGCGGCAAGCGCGGGGCCCGTCGTAAAAGGGCCCCCACCTCCTTTTTCAGCACATCCAGAGACGCCAACAGCAACAACAGCAACAAATGCCGTGCCGCCTGTAATGACTCCGGCGGAGGCACTTTCGGGTGAGAAGAAACACGCTGCGGCAGATGCGAAGGATGCCGAGGCGGAATTGGCGGCATCCGGGAGTTCGCAGCAACAACCAAAGCCACAGTCGCGAGGGCGCCCAGCCGAAGTGAAGGGGGGCGGAGGGAAACCGTCACAGCGTTCTAGTTCGTTGGAGGCCATCACCAATTTCCTCTTCCGCCGCGGGCGAAGTCAGGAGGCAAAGAAGGAGGAGGCGAAGAAGATGATCATTGACACGGCGAAGCCCCCCAAGTTTGACCCCGTGACTGGGCGTTATCTTTTTGAGGAGACTGAGGAGGAGAAGAAGGTGGCGGAGATGGTCAAGGCGGGGCCGCCCAAGCCGTCGTCGATGGCGGCAAAGTCTCCCGCCGTGGGAGGGGCGCCGCCGTCAATGTTGCGCCCGCCCACCGGACCGGCGGGCACGCCGCGCGGCGGGCCCGGGACGCTTTCACGGGCGCAGTATGTAGACATGTTCAACGCCGCATAAAAAGGTAACTTGCGGGGCGTCTGGACAACAAGAAAGAAGGAAAGCGATTAATAAAGCAACAAAAAACGCACTTACTCTCTCTGCCTCTCTCTCTTTTTTTTCCCCCTCTCCCTCCTTCCCCTCCTCCCTCTCCCTCCTTTTACGCTGTGTGAGTGGCATCCTATTGCTCCCTCGCATTATTTCCCTATGTGGGTGCGGTATCACGGGTCGTGTCCGTACCCAAACTGCAGTGAGAAAAAAAAAAAAAAGACTGGCGTAACGGAAGTAGAAATCGATGCACTGCCCGGAATGCGTACTGCTCTTTTCTGTTTGAGTCATGAGGCTTCTGGTGGCGCCCTTGATAACCGGGGGACGAGGGAGATGGTGAGGGAGAGAGGCTCGGCAAAAGAAAGACAGGCGACGCATTTGGAGAATAAAAAATGTACCGCTCTTCGCTACTTCCACGTTTTCTTATTACTGTCACGCATATTTCTCTTAGACTCTCTTTTATTATTACTATTTTTTCTTTTTTCTTCAAGTGAGTAACGCCGTGGGACGGGAAGCTACTGCTCTCTTCTCTACGCCTTTTACTTTTGTACTTTCTGTCCCTTGTTGCTGTAAAGGAGAATGAGACAGGAAGGGGCGCGCCAGTGAACGCGCTGCGGCCCTGCACGGTCGTGTTTCCCCTCCCTGTTGTAATGTCTTCGCAACGGCAGTTGCTTGCTGCGGACGCGCCTTGTCGTCGCGCGTGCGGGTCGGTGCTTGCCTCCCCATGGCAGGCCACCACAGTACGTCTCATCGCAGTCTCCCGAATCGCCTGAACAGCCCATGAGCGACGCCGCCACGCGTCCTCTGTGGCTGCGAGAGAGCGGGCCTTTCCGCCGGCGAGACCCACAGTGTCTCTAACTAACTAAGTCCGTCTGTGTATGTGTACTGGAGCGCGCCCCTCCTGCGGCGCACAAAACTTCACTGCATGGGGAAGAAGAGCGATGGATGGAATGTGCACGACAGGGAAACGCTGCAAACGACAGTGCGGGCCGGTCGGATCGGTCGAGAGAAGGTGTGTGCGTGGGGGTGGGGGGAGGCAGGGAGTCAGCATGGGCCACTAGCTTCCGTGCAGCTCACAACGGCGCGGGGCACAAAACGGGTGTTTGAAAGTGGAATTGTCGAGGATGACAATGCTGGCGACGAGGATGCGTCTCACCGCATGGGTCGTGGCACCACCAGCGTGATGGTAGCCTCGCGGGGCAACGCCGAGTCTCGACTCGCGTGTGCTTCTGCGCCGTCGTACGCGGGGAACTCGCTGTGCATTTCCACTCGGCGTGTAGCATCGGTTGGAGGCTTAGCGATACAAGGAGCTGCACGTACCAAGTGTCTTTTTGCCACTCTCTGTACCTTGTGGGGCGTCGCTGGCTTTTGTCTTTTGTGGCCTTTTGGCTTTCCTTCTCTCGCCGTTCTGGCTGTATCTGCGGCCTTGTGCTTTTTCTCCTTTTTGCTGGCCATTTGGGTTGCAGCTGTGAATTTGTGCCGGAAAGCAGGGTGAATTCCCTTCCCCCTCTCCTCCTGCTTCTTTTTTTTTTCCGTTTTGTATGTTTCTTTTTTTTTTTGGGGGGGGGCGTGAGCTGAAATGCCTCTTTTACGCGTCGCTTCTGCTGGGTCGGTGCGTGCGTGAGATTGATCCTTGCTGCTGCTCTTCTTCCTCGCTGGCGCGCCGGGGCGGTGGCGCATTGCTCGTTTCTCGTTCGCCCTCTACTCCTCTGCCTCCGCGGCAGCGACAGCTGTGTAGGATGCCGAGCAGTGGGGAGGGCAACGCGCGCGCGCTGGGCGAGCCACTCTTGGCTCACGAATGTGGCCCAGAGCCGTGGCAGCGGGCCGGGCTGCCCGAGGCCGCCGCACACTCCGCACAGGGAGAGACGAGGAGGGAGGAGGGCGGCCCGTACGCCCTCCCGGTTTCAAGTGCACCTAAAAAGCCTCGAGGCCGATTGGTGGCAGAGCTGCAGATTGAGACCCTTTCGACGACGTTCGCACGCGTGTTCTTTTACTCGTGGTACCTAGTGCTCTTCTTGGCCCTGCTTCTGCAGTCCGTGGTTTCGCTGCAGTGGAAAATGACCAACATATGTGGGGCCACGCCGGAGAGCCTCTATCAGCTTGACACATGGAGTAGCCCCTGTGTTGAGAGTCGCGTGGTGCCATCCCGTGCCATTGACTGGTCCAGCTTCGCCGTGGGTGGAGAGACGCTTGCTGTTCCCGTGGACCTTGTGCAGGCCTCCACGTTGGGTGGGGAGGCCGCGGTGCCGTCGACGGCGCGGGACGCTGTGGTGCGGAATGATACGCGGCTCCGTCGCCAGTGCAATCTCCGCTGGGTGGGTGGTGGCGAAGGAATGTCCTTGGACGTCAAGCTCAACCGCTTCGTGCGTGTCATTCTGAGCATGGCCTCACCACAGGACCAGTTGCCGGAGGGAGTTGAGTGGAAGCGGTACCCACTCTTGGTGGCCCTTGAGGAGTCACCACTCGCGCCAGATAACGAGACGAGCAGCAGTAGTCGTGTCCCGCCTTCGAAGGAAGCCTTTTTTTACAACACCAGTACGGTGTGCCATCGTGCCAGCCCGCGTTGTTCCTCCGTGGTGCTTCCACAGACTGTGGCGGTGGCCACGAACGAGTCGCAAATTACGCTTACCATCTTTGGCGTGGACGAGGCTTTAGGAAACGTTTCGGCTGCATCGGCCGTGGGGATATTCTTTCAAAGGTCTTCGTACACCATGAGCACCATTGTTTGCCGCTACCTCTTTCTTTTCTTCTCCATCCTCCAACTCATTCGGTTTATCTACCGCAAGCGGTACTCGAGGACCTTGTATGAGCAGTACTGGGTGATGGTTCTGCACCTGGCGCTTTACCTTTACCTCGACCCCGCTTTTGTTGCGGGTATCTACGCAACTCACAGCAGCATGGTGTATCACTTTTTGGAGTTTCGCGTTCCGACCTACTTTGCCGCCTTTCTGAGCTGTTTTATCTTTGCATTTATTACGGCCTCCATAACCTGGGCGGCGGGCACAGGCGGGGCGACGGCGCGGTACCGGCCCCTGACAGAGCATGAGGGAGGAATGCAAAGTGTGGGGCCGTGCCCCTCCGCGGCAGCCCCGTCGCCGCCCTTGCGAACCCCACGACTGACGGTTGGCGTACCACCCACGGCAGCACCATCGCTCCAACAGCAGCTTCATCACGACGAGGAGCAACACTTGACACCAAGGGACATCTCGCGGCGGGCGTCCTTTGCGGGCTCCGATGGGGTTCGTCCTATTGACGTGATACATCGCGCCACTCCGCTCTGGGCGAAGATGTCAATGACAAACTATTTACTGGCTGTCTTTTTCCTTGACGTTGCCCAAGCGTACCTTGGGGGCTGGGATTGGGGAACGGATATGGCGTGCGTGAGCTTCGCGTGCCTGTATATGCGTTACACCCTTTACAGCCTCATGCTGATTTTTATTGTTTTGTGTTGTGTGTTGCTTGTGCAACTTCACCGCAGTCTTGGACGTCTCCCGTACTTGGAGACGCGGCCGTCGCAGCTGGCATGTCGTGTGTTTATTTTTGTCTTCACGACGGCCTTGACGTACTTTATTGTGCAGGTGACCCTGATTGCCTTTCTCTACCCTCAGATCCTCGGCATCGTGGCCTACCAGCCGTTCACGCAGCTCTCTGCGGTGATTGTCTCTACCTTCTTTGTAAACTACGTGACGTTTGTCTACACGACCACGGTTGCCTCTCGTCGTGTGCCGATTCGCCCTGAGAATCCGCATTGGCGTCGTGTTCGATGGTCGCGCGAGTGGTATCGCTGGCTCAACCTCCACGGTGGGATACTCTACATCTTTCACAACGAGCGGCAGGAGCGATACTTTAACTGGCTGCAGGACAACGGGAAGAAGTTCACAAGGGGGCGCGGTGGGGAAACCGTTTCGGCTGGGAAGCAACAGCGCGGGGAGGCAGCGAATGGCTTTGTGCGAGGGGGCGGGGGGGCGGATGCCGTCGCCGCTTCCTTGGATCGTGTGGGAAAGACGTATCGCCAGGCGGCGACAGCGGCGGGGGTTGCGGGTGTTGACAGGAGCTTCTCGCCAGAGAGCGGCAGCGGCAGCAGCGACAGCGACAGCGACCTCGATGGCGGTCGCGAGGGCTCACCGGCGGGGGGGCCGCATTCTCCCCGCGTCCCGCAGTCCCGGAGTGGGGTGGTGGAGTTTCTGGAGAAGGCCGAGCGTCAGTTGATTGACGGGCCCGCCGTTTTTATCGACCACCTCGAGGAGGCGCTGGTGGACCCGCTGCAAGCACTCCTCTTTCGCCGCAGGGGCCGAATGCCCTTCTTCAACCTTGAGACCGCCACGGACTGCCTCAACTTGTCGTGGGAGGCGTACTTGCCGACGGAGAGGCAGGAGGCGACCGAGCGGGTGACGGAGGCGGCCGAGGTCGCAGAGGGGCCCGCCGCTGCTCTGTTTCAGCGTCTCCAGCGCCGTTATTTCTCCTGCGGCCCCGCGGTTGGCGGGGAGACGCATGGTAATGGTGACGACGACGGCAGCGGTGGCGGTGAGGCAGACGGGGGCAAACGCCACAACGGCAGTCCTCATGACGGCGGCGAGTCAGGAAGAGAGGGTGAGACGCAGGCGGAGACACCCGCTGTGCCTCTGGCGAAGGAGCCCTTGCCCGCTTCAGAGATGAGCACGGAGCAGTACGGCTACAAGCAGCTTGCCGTGTTTGAGGTTCGTGAAGTGCGGGTGGTCATCACGGTCATGGACACAACTCTTCCTTGCCACCATCGCAAGCTTCCGCGTCTTGTGATAGCGTTTCGCGGCACGGACAATCTTTCTAACGCCCGCGAGGATTTGCGTTTCCGTCAACGCATTTGGAGAGAAGTTGACGCCCTGCGCAACTGGGGCCTCAAGCGGCGCGCCAAAGTCCACACGGGATTTCTGACCATGTGGCTTTCACTCAAGGAGGCGGTGCTTCACACGACTAAGTCGTACTTGAGTGAACACCCCGAAGAGGTATACGGTGTGTATTGCACAGGCCACAGTCTTGGCGGCGCGCTTGCGACGCTCTGTGCGTACAGTATGCAGCGAATGCTACGCCTCATGGCCTATCCACTTCTGGAGGTGACGGTTTACACCTTTGGGCAACCGCCACTTGGCAATAAGGTCTTTCAGACGGCCTACAACAAGGCTGTTCCACGCACCTTTCGTGTCGTGAATGAGAGTGACGCGGTGTCCTTCCTCACGCTCTTTGGGGGTTGTCATGTGGGTATTGAAGTGGACATTGACCGCCACGGCAACTACATCTGCAAGCCGATGTTTATTGAGCGCTGGTTCCGCCCTACGCAGGGCAGGGGGTTCGCCGTTGCGAACCACACACTTGCCTCCTACGCCCAATCCCTCAATGCCGTGGCGGCGCGCAATAGTGGGGGTTCCTGCAAAGTGCGTTGCCTGGAGCCGTACGTCAGCAGCACGGAGGCGGTGTCGGGCGCCGCCGCGCCGCAGTCGGTGCATTCTCCTCCGTTGTCCGTGTAGCGAGGCCCCCGCCTGCTGCCTGGCTCCCTGCCGCTGGCGTAACTCACAGCTCCAACGTTGCTTCACGGGGGAATAGTTGAATTGGCGAAGAGACAATTCCTCCTCGAGAGCAAAAAAAAACGAAAAAAAAAAGGGGGAAACTTCATTCTACTCCAAAAAAAAAAAACGTGCGGGGTACACGGAGCTACGCTGACCCTAACTGACTTTGGTTTTAGTGTTTTGCTTGGCGGCAGTCGTTCCGTGGTAAGTGTGCGTGTTGCGGACTTCTTTCTCTATTCTCAGTGAACTGCAAAATGCACAGTCTTTTCCCACAGCTTTGTTGTTGTTGTTTTTTTTTTGTCTTGTGCCTGTTTAGAATTCGCCGCCTGGCGGGAAGAGCGTGGCCCGCCCCCGCCGCAACTCCCTCCCCTTAATGCGGCCCACTGCTTCCCCATTTTTTCCCCCGCACTTCCTCCAGCTTGTAACGAGGGATGCCGCACGCTTCCGGTGTGTCCGTGTGTGCTTGTGTGCAATTTCTCTTTGCCTCTGCGCGCTGTTCTTTTTTGTTTTGTAGGGATCGAAGCGCTCGGTACGGGACCCGCGCCTGGCTCCCGGCAGACGCGCTTGCCGGGGAGTGGGGGGGCGGTTGACTTGGGCTGCACTGGCGTGCTTGCGCCAAGGCGGCGGCAATGCGTCAGGGGCATCATCGTCTGAGCCTTCAGCAGAGTGCGGGGCCCCGGGCGGCGGGGCCGGCGGACGTCAGCGCGGCGGACAGTGCCGAGGCCGACGCTGGGCCCTCGGCGAGGGGGCACGAGGAGCGCCCTTCTGAAAGTTTACACAACGCGGTGGGGGAGTCGTGCGGGCAGAAGCAAGTAAAATGCGTTATCCCTCGGGCACCGCGACGGAATTTGCACCTTATTCGTAGCCACGCACCAGCAGCTGCGGCCCCCAAGAAGGAACGAGGCGGCCCATTTTGTTTTTCGCGCGGTTTCTCTTCAGAGCCCGTGGAGCTGCAGATTGAGGGACTCTCCTTCCTTGTTGGGAGGGCCACGTTGTACCTGTGGTATTCGGTGATTATTTCCGCTGCGGTTGTGCAGAGTATGGACTTTCTTGCCTGGGGCTTGGTGAGCATCTGTGGCGAGGAAGTGGCTGATTTGCGCCACTACGACAAGTGGACAAGTCCGTGCGTAACAAGCACGGCGGAAAACACCACGGATGGGTTGTACACTATTCGTTGGGAAGGAGGACCATACAAGAAAGGCTTTGATGACAGCTCAGTGCGCTTCACGAGAGTGGTTCTCAGCCTGGCAAACGCCGAGGACTGGGGCAACGGCACGGAGACAGTGCGTAGCTACAACATCACGGCGGTCATTCCTTATGATGTGGTGTCGGGTGATTTTTCCGCGCTTTCGTTCACCGTCACGTGTACCCGGAAATCGCCTCGCTGCAGTCAATTCGATCTCCCCGCTGAGGTCGTTTTAAATAATACCTCAACCGGGAGAAAATCACTGACACTTATTGGAGTCCCGGCCCCTCTTGCCCGCGTCGTCGGCAATTCCTCCGTTGGAGTTGTGTTTCAGAAGTATGCCTACTCCCAGGGCGTATTTATCTGGAGGTATTTATTTTTGCTGCTTTCGTTTTTGCACTTCTTGCGCTTTATTGTGTACAAAAAATTCACTAGTACACTGCACGAGCAGAGTTGGGTGGTGGTGCTGCAGCTCGCACTCTTCTGGTACCTAAACCCTCTCTATGCCTTGAACTACTCCAAGGGGCGGCCGTCGTTGGTGCTCCACTTTTTGGAGTCGCACTTCCCCACCTGGTTTGTGGCGGTGTACGTGGGATTTATGCTCTCCGCCATCACGGCCACGATGCCGTGGACACCGCCAACGTACGAGCAGCAGCCAGGGGTGTATAACATCCTGACTCTGAGCGGCATCAAGGGATATTTCTGCCACAGCGCCACTGTGTACGACCCGCCATTGTGGACAAAGTGGTTGGTGGTGGCGTACGTCCTCGTTATCATCGTCTTGGACATCGTTGGGGAGTCACTGCACGCCGCGGGGTCGCTAGAAATATGGGGGGACCCCCTTCACTCGATCCACTACGCCGTGGCGGTCCTCCTCCTGCTTGGGTGCGCTGTTTGTTGCGTTTTGCTCGTCCATGTGCATCGCAACATGGGCGCAAAGTCGTACCTAAATTCCCGGCCGCAGCAGTTGGCCTCCCGTTTTTTGATTCTCATCTTCGTGACCTCGCTACTCTACTTCGTGTTCCACATTATTATCTTCTTCCTGCGCTACCGCACCATCCCTGGCATGACGGTGACCCAGCCCATGATCCAGCTCCCGGCCCTCATGGTCTCCGTCTTCCTTGTGAACATCATGACACTCATATACACCACCCGGAAGCGCGGCGACCTGGTGCCGGTTCACCCACGCGATGAGCGCTGGAAGCTGATGGTGTGGCCCGACACGTGGTACCGTTGGCTCTCCCGCCACGGTGGGAGCATGTACATTTTTCATACGGAGGCGGAGGAGCTGACGTTTAACTGGAACCAGATCGGCTACCGCAAACGACAATACAAGGCGAAGACGATGCGGCGGAGGGGGCGGTGGAGCGGGGCGTCCATCCTCAGGCGTGCACTGCCACGGGCGCTGGCGCAGCGACTGCATCATTCACACGCCGACGCTGAGCCCGCTCCGGAAACGCCGGAGGCTTGCAGCGCCCAGGCGAACTCTTGCTCCGCCTTTGCCTCTCTCCGCACGGAGTCGCGCGAGCACCCTACGATTCTCAACATGGACCGCACCTCCACCATGTTTCTCCCGACCCGGACGCCCCGGAATGCCCCCTTCGCGGGGCGACAGGGTCTCCACAGCCAAGTGAGTTTCAGAGAGGGAAATGAAAGTGAAGCCGAGGATAGGAACTTCGAATCACTGACAGAACGGCAGTCTACCGACGATGTTCCCCTGCGCGAGGCCGAGGGGCGACGGGGGCGGCCGGCGCCACCGCAACTAGCGCCGGGTTTACAAAATTCTCTTGCATGCGGAGCCGGGGAAGCGCCTTTTGCAGCTTCGGAGACCTCCCCGATAGGTCCGCAGCGCCGCCGCCACGCAAGAGCCGCGGTGGAGGACGATAACGCGGCGGCGGCGGCGCAGGAGGAGGCGGAGGACAGCAAGGAGGATGATGGGTACGACCTTTCGCGGAATATGGCGTCGCGCACCTTTGGCCGTGCGCGTGAAAAGATGGACTCCCTCATGCGGGGTGCGGAGCGGACCTTTATTTCGCGACCACTTGATGCCTTTGAGCACTTTGAGACGTTTGTCCTTGAAGCAGCCGCGCGACCCTTCCGGGAGGTTGACTATCTTCCCTTTTTTAACCTTGAGACGGCGATTGGCTGCTTTAACTTGTCCTGGGAGGCGTACGGAACCTCGCATCGGGGGGAGGGGGGGGTTTTGCGGCGGCGGCCGTTTTCCCTGTCGCGTTTGTGCTGCAGCTGCTGCTCCGCCGCCGACTCCTCCTCGGACGGTGAGGTGCGGGTGCCCATTGCGGATTCAGAAGCGCCAGCGGCGACCGCACGGCACGAGCCACACCCCTGTGAGGACGAGGGCGGGAACCGGGTCGAGCGCAGTGCGCAACAGGGCCAGGCGGATCCCAACGCCCCACCGCCCATCGATGTGGAGCGCTACGGGTACCGTCTTTGTGCCGTTTTAGAGGCCATGGATGTGCAGGTGGTCATTTCGGCCCTAGACAGCGCCGATGCAGTTGCCGAGGGCAAAGCTCCCCGCATTGTCATTGCTTTTCGGGGCACGATGAGTATGAGCAATGCCTGGCAGGACTTGCGCGTGCGTCGAGTGGTGTGGGACGAAATGGTGGAAGGAGAACCAGGACTCTCCCGAGACATGTGCTGTGAGACGAAACCGACCGTGCATGTGGGATTTCTCTCCATTTGGAACGCCCACCGTGAGCACGTCTGTGGGAAGTTGTGGGAGGAGCTTTCAGCCAACCCTTCCACAGTGTACCGTGTGTATTGCACAGGCCACAGTCTTGGCGGCGCGCTTGCGACGCTCTGTGCATATAGTGTGTGTGGACTGCTGCGCCGAAACAATTACGCTCTCGCGGAGGTGACGGTTTACACCTTTGGGCAACCGCCACTTGGCAATAAGGTCTTTCAGACGGCCTACAACAAGGCCGTTCCACGCACGTTTCGAGTCGTGAATGAGAGTGACTTGGTGGGATCAATCAGCATGTACGGTTCGCACATTGGCGTTGAGGTGGACATTGACCGCCACGGCAACTACATCTGCAAGCCGACGTACATGGAGCAACTGTTTCGTCCTATGAAGGGCAAGGGGTTCGCGGTTGAAAACCACCTCATGGAAAGTTACAGCGTCTCCTTGAACGCTGTTGCGAAGGGAACGAGCTGTCCATCCGTGGCCTACGCGAGGGAAGGCGACGGCGGCGGCGGCGGCGGCGACCACGACGCTGCGAGTGATGGGGCAGCGCCAGGGCCGAGCGAGACTGAGCATACGGGTTGAAAACCGTAGGCACTTTGGAACCCCAGTTCAGCTCCGGGTATAATGTGGCTTCTGGGGAGGTGGGAGCAGCGGCTAAACAATAACCACTGTGTTCCCCCCCCCTCCGTTGTTTTTTTTTCGATTACCGCAGATGTTGGGCTTTGAGAAGCATGCAAAAACATTTTTTTTTTTTCAGTTGTTGTTGCGGGCACGCCCTTTTCCACGCAACGTCAACTCGCTCCACTAAACGTCGTGGCTTTGTAGTTTTTGTTCTTATATTTACTGCCCCCCTGCAAGCTTCTTTTTTTTTGCTTTTGTTTTTGTTTCGGTTGTTACTTCGTGCGCGGGGGCCCGTGTGTTCTCTCGCTCTCGCTCTCTTTCTGTCATGCCCCCCGCCTCCTCTTGTCGGTTTCCCCCCCCCCCAGAGCCTGGAGAAGCCAAATAAAGGAGTAGTAACAGCACCCTCCCGCCACAACGACTACGACGCCTGCGGCATTCGGGCCTGGTTGCTTCGTTTTCTTCTTGGGGGGCAGCGGGGGGAATGAGCAGCGGCAAGCGTGGGACGTCGCCGTCGCCGTCCGCGGCGGCGGCCGCCGCGCAGGGCAAGAGCAACCCCGCGCAGCGTGAGATTCTGCAAACGGCACGCCTCTCGCTGGAGCTGACGCGGGCCGATGACGTGTGGTCGTCGTGGTACAAGGAGTCGGAGGACCAGTTCGCCGACTTCCAGTCCTTCGGGGAGACGGAGGGGGGGCCGAACGCCCCCGCCGCGGCAGGGCCCAATGCCGGCAGCGGCGGCGCCCAGTTTAGCAGTTCCCACCGCACACTCAGCGCCCGCCGGGTCAGCGGGCTGTTTGAGGAGGAGGTGCTGAAGTCGTGGGATGAGGACTGGGAGGACGAGGACGTGGAGGACACGTTTGACGCCATCATGGGCCAAATTGGGCGCTACGAGGCCTTGCGGGCAGCCTCCGCGCCCAAGTGAGAGGGCGGCAACGAGGCAAGTGAGGTGCAGCAGGAGGAAAAACACACAGGGCCAAAAGAGGCGAAGGGAAAAGAGAGGATCATCGGCGGGGATAGAAAAGCCGGCCGAAATAAAAAGGAAATGAAAGTAGGGAAAGGCGATGGAAGGAAATCGCATGTTTTTTTATTTTTGTTTGTTTCTTGCTTTCTTTCCTGACTTGTGTTTTTGGGGCTTTTCCTCTTTGACTCTCTACCTCTTCCTGCTGTTGCTGCTGCTGCTCCGCCTCCTAATACCACTGCTACTGCAACTGCCTTTTTGCGGCGTTTGGCTGATGGACGTTGACAGGAATCAGGGTCTGGCAAGTTTGGTTCTGCACGTCTTCCTTTTTTTTTTCGTTTGTTTGTTTTTTCTTTTAATTGCTTTACTTCCGCGCTTTTTGCTTTCTTGTTTTACGTGTGTCTGTGGGTCGCGTGCCGCCGTGCAAGCGTGTGTAGAAGAGACTCGCTCCGCCATTGTTTCCGAAGGCAGGGTGCCGGACGGGTTATATATACATGTGGGCCAGGACGATCCTCCGGTTCTGTAGTAGCAAGCAGCCGGGCGCGGTGGCGCCTGCCGCCGTCGGCTCGTCGTGGATGACGGCTGCTGCGTGGGCCAGCTTAGGCAGTGAGTTCGCTGGCGTGAGCGAGGAGAAGTTCCTCCGGCCGAGCCCTGACGGGTTCTTGACGCCGCGTGCCACGACGGACGTGGTTGCGGCGGAGCAGCTGCTGGAGTCGATGGTCGCGGAGAACGCGCAGCGGTACGAGGGCATTGACGTGCGCGACCCCTCCTCGATGGCGGTGTACGAGGGGGAGCGGCCGCGGTGGATGACGCTGGGCAGCCAGGTGCGTGCCGTCTCCGAGTTCATCTCTGGGCACTTGTGCCACCACATCTCCCTCCCCGAGTGGAGGGCGCTCTTTGACCTGCAGTACGCCGAGATGGACCTGACCTACTGGCTCTACGTGCTGCATGTCCACATGGTGAGCCGACGTGCCACCAGCATTCCCATTGAAAGCTTTAACCGCCGCCGCGAGGTGCTGGAGGAGGTGCTGCTCACCATGTTTGAGAGCTGGGCCTCGACCTCGGAGGACGTCATGGGCCGCCCCCCGCTAAACAAAATTCGTTTTTACATCAAAGACATGTACTACGTCACGGCGGTGAACTTTGAGGAGGCCCTCCTGCACGACGGCGCAGGCGCTGACCTGATGCTTTTAGGATTTTTAATGAAGTTTTGTCCGCTGCCGCGGCCAGAGGACGTGCCGCTCTACACGTACTACTCGCTGGTGCACTACGTCCGCTTTCACACCGCCCTGCTCGACCGCATCCCCGACGAGCTCATCGCGAAGGGGAACTTCAACTTTCTGTCGCCCACGGACCCCCGCATCTTTGAGCGCTACGACGACGTCGCGCTTGACCGCGTCATCCGCTCGTGGGTCGCAGACGGCGCGGGCGAGCCCGGCGAGGGGCCCGAGGCGAACTGACGCCGGCGCTGTGCCTCTCTGCAGGGTGTGTGTGTGTGTGTTTGTGGGAGGGGGTGGGGGGTGGGGCGGCCGCCCACACACGCAGACACACGCACGTGCTCTCACGGGCGCGGAACGGCGGCCGATCCGTAAGAAAAAGAAAAAAAGGCAGAACGTGAAGCGTCGGGTGTGAAGGTGACTGATCACACAAACAAACAAGCAAACAAACTGCTGCCGCTTGCTACTTTCTTGCTTGGCAGGCCTTTTTTTTTGTTTCTTGTTGTTTTTCCTCCCTGTTTTGTCTGGCTGCCTCTGCCCTCTTGTTTTTTTTCTTTTATATTTTTTAGTTCTCTCTTATATTGTAGGTATTTTTTGGTTTAGTGGCACAAGAGAAGGGTCCAATTTGTTTAGTTGAGCTTCTGCCGTGTTTTTTGTTTCTTTTGGTGTTTAATTGCCACCAGCCATACATACACGCACATAAATAAATATACACACACACACACACACGCATAGTCGACGAGAGTAGCGTCCCCGCCTGCAGAGCCGAAGTGCGGGGGAAGACAACCACCACCACCACCACCACCACCACCACCCAAAACAAAATGAAGCGAGTGCTGGCCAAGGATCTCTCCGCCAACGTGCTCAAGCTGCCGCGGCTGCCGATTCCGTCGCTCGAGCAGACGGCGGAACGGTACCGTGCCAGCATTCTCCCGCTTAAGCCGACGGAGACGGCGAAGGCCCACTTTTTGAAGTTTGACATGTTTGTCAGCAGCTCCGGCGCGACGCTGCAGAAGGCGCTCGTGGCGGCCGACAAGGCGGCAGAGGCGGAGGGCGGGTATCCGTACTCCTACATTGAACCCATCTGGGACCGCATGTACTTGTCTAACCGCGCCCCGTTGCCTGTGAACACAAACCCGTCAATTCTCATCAAGAAGGTGCAAAACATGGGGGAGACACAGGCCAGCGTTGCCGCCACCCTCGTGTGCGGCATCGCCAGGTGGGTACGGAACGTCCTGAAGGAGGGTGTAGAGGTGCGTGGCGCAGACATGGACCTGTCGCCGCTGCTGCGCCAGCTTGGAGCTTCATTGTTTCCAGGCGAGAAGGCGGATGAATTTCACACCACGCCATTGGAGAAGCTGCGCCATATTATTGTGTTGCATGATGGCCATCCCTATACGGTCCGTGTTTTCGATGATCAACAGGTTCCACTGGAGCAGACCGTCGTTCAACAGTGTTTGGAGTACATTCTTTCCATTACTCCGGACACGGACAACACGACACCGGTCTCGGTGCTCACCGCCGCCAACCGCGAGGTATGGGCCGGCGCCTACGCGGAACTAGTCAAGACTCCAGTTAACGCGGAGACCCTGCAGAAGGTACACGAGGGTATGGTGGTGCTCTGCTTGGACTCCAACAAGTGGCACAACGAGGACCAGTTAAAGAATGGAGCAATGCTGCACGGAAACAAGGAGGAGGCGGAGAACAGGTGGTATGACAAGCACCAAATTATTGTCTCCGCGGATGGAGAGGTGGCCTTTAACTTTGAGCACGCCGGAAGCGACGCGGTGCACTGGGCACGCTGGATCGGTGACGTTTTGCAGGACATTGAACAGAGTGCCCCGGCCCCCACGGCCGCCGCGGTTGATGCGACGCAGGTCACCGCATTGGTAGAGCCCCTCCGCGTCACATTTGGCAAGGCATTTGCGGGGCACATCCGCAGTGCCCGCACGGAGGCGTTGGACCTCATCGCGAACACCGCCTTGGGGCACCTGCACCTGCCCTTTGGCGCAGCCCAGCTCAAGCAACTCGGGGTCAGTCCAGACGCGTTTGTGCAGATGTGCTTCCACGTGGCTTTCCACAAGTGCCGCAATAAACTCGCGCCCACCTACGAGGCCGCCTCCACCGCCCGTTTTTTTCACGGCCGCACCGAGACAATTCGCTCCGCCACGCAGGAGATGCTCAAGTTAGCAGAGGCCGTCAACAGGGAGACGAAGGAAGACGCGGCGCCGGACGAAACGGGGCGAGGGGCGCTCCTGGCGCTTATCAAGGCGGCCTCGGAGCGCCACGTCACACTCGCCCGGGCGGCCTCTAACGGCGAGGGCGTTGACAGACATCTGACGGCGTTGAATCGGCTGGCCGTCGAGCGCGGCGACAACACCGCCCTCAACTTTTTCAACGACGAGGCGTACAAGACCTGCTGCAAGTGGACACTTAGCACGAGTAACGTCTCGTACCCGTGGATGGAGCGCCTTGTCTTTGGCCCTGTGACCCCCAACGGCTACGGCCTCGGCTACGTCGTGGACGAGGACGAGGTGCGCATCATGCTCTCCGCCTTCACCCGCAGCCCGTCGACGAACGTAGAGGATCTGAAGGCCGCAATTCAGCACTCCGCGACGCGTCTCCACCAGGCCCTGTCCGCGGCCAAACCATGAGGGGGGGGGGTGCGCCTCGTCACAGTGCGCCACTGAGGGTGCGGCGAAGGAAACAACAAACAAAAAAGGAACAAGAGGGGAAGGAGAAAGAAGGCGGAGAGATAGAAGGGGGAAAAAAAACATATATAAATAACGAAAAAAAAACGCAAGAAGAAAAAGAAAAACGACAGCTCCAGCACGAAGGGTATCTTAGCAAACAAGCAAACAGAAATGAAGGGATTTGGGGCGGAGAAATTGGCTGGTGGGTCTCTCGGAGAGCGGAATGACACGGGGACGGCTGTTGGTTCCCTCATTTTCCCGCCTGTCCCACTTCCTCTTTTGCCCACTCTCTTTCTCTCTCTATTTCTCTCCCCCGCTCTCTCGCTCGGTTTGAAGTGCCCCTTCTGCTCCTGCATCATCGCAGAGGCATCCAGAAAGCACGTTTCCTTCCTGCAGTTTGTTTGGATGTCACGCACACACACAAAAACCGCCCGCTGAATAGCGTTCTCTCTGTGTGTTCTCCGAGCTAGAGAGGGGGGAGGGCAACGCCGTGGTGGAGGTGGTGTTGGAGGCGCTGGGCAGCTGCGCGCCCCTCTTCTTGCCTCTCCTACGCGAGTGGATATAAACCAAAACGAGAGAAAAAAAAGGTGTAGAGGGGCGAAGCGGCAACGAAGAAAAGGCGGGGAGAGAGGAGGAGGAGGGGGAGGGGGAGGGACAAAAAAAAACAAAACAAAAAAGAGAAGCAGAACAACATAGACTGATGAGCGCGCCGAGCAGAGTGGCCCTGCTTACCGCATGTGGGGGATACATTCTTTTTATTATTATTATTATTTTGTCAGTTGTTGTTATTGTTGGTTTTGGTGTTTTTGTCTAGTGTGCGTTTTTGTCACCTTTTCCTTCAGCCGCGACTATTATTATTAATAGGAGAAAAGGAGAGGGAGGTCGCCTCCACCGCTCCCATGCACTCAGGATGGAGGGGCAAACGAAAAGAGGCGGAACAAGGAACAGACAAGCATAAACCGTCATGCAGAAGTAAAACTCGCATGCGTACATATTATGTTTAAGCAAGAACGCATCGATGTATTGCTGATGTGTCGTTTTATGGGTGATTCACGGGGTCGCCGGGGCGGTTGCTACTTATATATGTCTTTCCTCCTCCTCCTCCTTCCCCTGCCCCCTGCTTAAGTGTGTCCTGTGCTGCTGGTGCCGTTGTCTTTTTACACTCAAATTGCATCCGGCCCCCTTGTTTCTTACTTTATGTGCTCTCACTGACGCGTTCCCCTTTCCAGCTATTGTTGTGAGTTATATTGACTTCGTCCTGCTGCCGCCGCTGCTTGGTTGCACTCATCCCTTGTCGCTCGTTTTTTTTCTCCTTTTTTTTTTATGTGTGCCTGTGTCTTCTTCCCTCGCTACCTGCGGGGCTCTAGTGGGTCAAGGGGAGCTCCCACCTCTTTTTTTTTCGTGTGATTGCTGCTGTTGGGTGGGGGGCGCGAAACAGAAACAAGGAGGCGGACGACCGGGGCGCCGCGCCGTTTTTTTTTTTTTGATCTTCTTCTCCCTCGCCCACTCTGCGCGCTTCTTCCTCTTTCTGTGCGTGTGTGTCCTCGGTGGGTTTGTTAGACGGCCGCACGGCGTGACGCGTCAGGGGATGTCGTCGGCCGCGTCGAAGGTGACGCACGCCCAGCAGCGGATCCTCAGCAGCCTCTCGCTCTCGGGGCAGGAGGCGGTGCTGTTCGCCACCCTGCAGCGCGACCTCGCGCTGGACCAGCGCACCGCCGCCGATGCCCTGCGCGGGCTCATGGAGGGGGGGAGGGTGGTGCTGCGCCGCGGGAACAGCGACGGGAGCGTGTACGTCGCACTCTCGAACAGCATGCCGGAGGGCCCCTCGCTGGTCCTCGACGCGATACGGGCCAGCGGGAATAGTGGGATCGATCAAACCACGCTCTGCGGCAAGGTTCGTCTACCCAAGAACGAGATTATCAAGTCACTGCAGCTGCTTGTGGCGCAGAAGCGCATCAAGGAACGCCGCTGCTTCTCAAATCGTGCGAAGCGCATTTACCTGCTCTTCGAATTTGAGCCCAGCGATGAAATCACAGGAGGGACGTTCTACGCTGGCGAGGATTCGCGCGAGATGGATGTGTGGTTTGTGGATGAGATGCGGCGACGCATTGTGGCTCTAGTGGCGCAGCGCCACTCGGTCTCTTTGGAGCAGATCACACAGCACCTGCACGACTCCCATGGCGGCGGTGAGGCGACGCTTGGTGGCGGCGATGGCGTGGTGGTCATGACGGCACACCCCGGCGGCTCCACGGTCACCTCCGCCAGCGGCGGCAGTGGCGGGAGCAAGCGAATCTCGCAGCGGGACGCGCAGCTGCTGGTGCAGACGTTGGTCCTGGACGGGGTGTTGGACTCCGTGGCGCCCTCCGCGGGAGCCCCGCCGCAGTACCAGCTGGCGACCGGGAAAAATGTACTGCGGCACTTCACGGCCACGCTCGCCGCAGGGGGCAGCCGCACGTCCGGCGGCGCGACCTCGTCACTCGAGGATGGGCGTGACCCGCATGGAGATATTTCTGCCGGTGGCTTGTGGACCCCCGCCGCGGTTGCGCAGTCCAGCGCGTGGGCAATGCCGGTGGTGGGGCTGCCGTGTTTGGGGTGCCCGCAGCTCTCGGTGTGCTCCGTGAGCGGCATCGGCGTCGTTAACCCGCGCACCTGCGCGTATTTAAATGATTGGCTCAGTTAAACTCTTCTTTTCGGCGCAGGCAAGAAGGGAGGTGCGCTGAAGCGCGAGTTGTAGCGGAACCCAATGAATTGTTTTTGCGTTACTATTTCGCGGTTGTTGTTGTTTCTCTGCCTGTGGGGGCAGCGCCTGTCCTTGCTTCCCCCAGTGCCCGGTGTGGAGGCCACAACTTTGTCACCACGTTCCGCGGCGCGCATGCATGCATGCCTAGGGTCTTGTATTGTTTGTTACTTTTTTTTTTTTTGCGTTGTCTGCCTGCCGCCAGTGCGGCTGGTTTTTTTTCCCCCCTTCACTCCTTTTTGGCTGTTGTTGTCCCGCGCGGACCAGTTACTTGGCTCGCCACAGCTGCGGGTGATTGTGTGCCGCACGGCGTGTCGGACGGCGGTCGGCAGGCGACGAGGGATCGCGGAATATGTGGCGGCACCTCAACCTGCGCTCGCCGCCGCGCGGGCCGCGTGAGGCGAAGCCGAAGTTGCCGCCACCGCAGGCGGAGTACGCGCGACGTGAAGTGTGGTGCCCTTCTATCGCAGGCGGCGGGTACGAAGACGCGTCGGAGCAGGAGCCAAACTCGCAGGCGTCGTCGCAGGCGTGCTCCGTCGCACCGCCGCCACGCACGACGTCGTCGCCGGCAGAGCCGGCGTCGCAGGAACCGCAGACGCAGCAGCAGCAACTTGTCATTCGACAGGAGGACATACGCGACGAGGACTTCCTGCGGCTCGAGGTGCTGGGTGACGGCTCCTACTCGGTTGTAGTTGCCGCCCGTCACCTGCCGACTCAGAGGCTGGTGGCGCTGAAGGAGCTCTCGCGCCGCCGCCTCCGGGAGTTGAACCTGGAGAAGCAGCTGCAGTGGGAGATCAACGTTCACCGCACGCTGCGCCACCCGAACGTGGTCAGGATGCTGAGCTACTACGTCACCCCACAGAACGTTGTGCTTGTGCTGGAGATGTGCCCCCGCGGGACGCTCCTTCAGAAGCTGAAGGCCATGCCGCACGGCAGGTTTGACGAGCGACGGGCGTCACGGTACGTGCGACAGGCTGCACGGGCGCTGGCGTACCTGCACGGGCACGGCATTGCCCACCGTGACTTGAAGCTGGAGAACATTTTTTTAGATGCGCAGGGTGTGGCGCGGCTGGGCGACTTTGGATGGAGCAAAGCTGTCGCGGAGCCGACAGTGGGGGGAGACCCCGCCCCCCGATTGGACAGCCTCGGCACCGCCTCACACAGCGCGGCCGGCGACGATGCGCAGGGGCGTGGCGGCGGTCGGCTAACGGTCTGTGGCACGCTGGACTACTTGTCGCCGGAGATGCTCTCTGGCCTGCCCCACACCTTCAAGACAGATGTGTGGTCCCTGGGCGTCATGCTGGCGGAGATGCTCACCGGCGCGCCGCCCTTTTACCGCGTGTCGCACCAGGACACCCTCGACGCGATTCGCGAGGCGGCCCCTCACTTGGATGGGGATGTTCACATCTCAACCCTGGCCCGAGACTTGGTGCTGGCAATGCTGCAGAAGGACCCGGACGCGCGTCCAACGATGGCGGAGGTGCTGCAGCACCCCTGGACGAGGCCTCACCGAGAGAAGGCGAAGTAACAGGTGAGGGCGCATCTGAGGCGCACGACCACACACACACACACACACACACACAAGTGCATACAATGCGAAACCAAAACGCTACGTTCCTCCCTCCTGTCAGCGCAGGTGTGTATGTGTGCAATTATGTGTCTGCTTGAGAGTGGCCTTTGCCTCTTTTTTTGCGTCTGTGTGACCAGGTGGAGAGCGGGGGTGGGGCGGCGCAGGCAGGAAGGCGCGGGGTGCACGTCTTGCCCCGCGCTTTTTTGCATTAGAGGGGTATACCTTCATGTTGATGTTTTTTTTGTTTCTTGCTGTTCTTTTCTCTCTCCTCCAGCCCAGGGAACGGACACGTCACAGTGGGAGGAAGTACCGTGAGAGGGCAAAGGAAGGGAAAAAGGGAGACAGAGAGAGAGGAGAGGATGAGAGAAGATGACCGGAGTGGGCGGTGATTTCTCTCGCTTCTCCTCCTTCGCTCGCTGACTGCATCCTCGTCGTCGAGTGTTATTAACAGACCTTTTTTGCCGCACACGTCGGCACTCCTCCTCGCTTTGGTTGCCTTTTCTGCGGAGGAAAGCCTCACAGGTCACAGCGGGGTGTTGCCTTTTTATTCCTCTCCGCCATTCCCCCTTTTTTTTTATTTTGTTCGCTGCGCCGCATGACTGGCCACTCTTCCTGCTCCTGCGGCCACGCCACTCACACGCCGTTTTCTCCCCTTCTCGCCCCGCCGCCGGCGCCTGCCACGGTGCGTGCAGCACCACACCACGAGCCACACAGGCACCGCAATGTGAGGTGTCACTCGACATCCTCCCTTCCTAGTTCTTGTTGCTTGTCTTTTTTTTTTTGCGCCGTACGGAGAGACCCTCTCAGCGGCAGTTAATGCGCGACAGCTGCGCCGGGGAGAACGCCGGCACTGCATTGGGCGAACCAGCAGCAGCAGCGGCGACCGTACGCCGCGGTTGGTGAGGCCCGCGAGAGGATCCTCAAGCTTTTCCTGCGCAGCCTTCCGCTTGGCATGTCGGCGGACGAGATGGCGCGTTTGTTTCGACACTTTCTCCCTGCCGCCGCCGGAAACCGACAGTCGGGACGTTGCGTTGGCGTCTTGGTATTTCGCGCTGCGGGTGCCGGGGCGAGGGCGGCTGGGGCTGTCCACAGCAGCGCCCGTCCGTGCCCCGGCGGTGGGTCTATTCTACGGATGCGGGAATCCGCCGGGAGATGCGCCCCCGCGCGCAATCGGCGTCATGCCGCGGCGGTTCCGAACTTGCGCGGGCCGGGTGTCGCGCCGGCCCGTACGATGGGCCTAGTGGCGCAGGAGTGGGGAGTGCTTCGCACGGGCAGAGCGATGTTTTTTGCCAAGCGACGGAGATGGAGGTGTGTGACGGCGTTTCAAAAGTGTCAATGACGTTGGCTGCGGCGGCGCAGGGGATTGCGGGCGGGGACGAGGCGGCCGGGCGCGCCCAGACACGTGAGCAAGAACGGGGGAAGCGCTGTCGGCAAAGGCTGTGCCAAGACACCGACATTTTGTTTGCGTTATATTTTTATTTATGAGGGCAACTTTGGCTGGAGGGCGGTTGGGTTTACTTGTGCCGTCAAGGAGACTTTTCTCCCCGTGTCTGTGTGTCTGTGTGTGGGGGGGGTTTCTCTTTGCCTGCCGTTGCGCAGTATTTTATTATTATAATTATAATTTTGCCGTGTGCTCCCCCGCATGCCCCGCTACTCTCCGGGAGGGAGGGAGCTCGCGGCGTTCGTGTGGCGTCGAGTTCGCACTTTGTTTGCGCGCTTTCTCCTGCTGCGTGTGTGGTTGCACTTCCCCGCTGCCGCTTCTGCCCGTCTCCCCCCGCCGCTCACAAACAGCAAAGCCACTCGAGGTCCAGGGGCGAGGAGACGCCCACGACAGAACAAGGGAGCTGAGAAGGAAGGCTAGAGGCAACAGGGCGCCCCCTCTTCTTCTTTTTTCTTTTTGTTTGTGTGTGTGCGTTTTTTTCTTCTTTTTTTGGTCTCTTCGCAGGCGTTTGTTTTTGGCGGCGCCGGTGCGTTGTCGGGGCCTGAGATCTCACGCCCCTCGCGTGCACAACACACAACCGACAGGACGAGGGGGAGGGGCACGGTGCCTCCTCCACGGCGCGGCACACGGAGCGAGCGGGCAGCAGCAGCAGCAGCAAACAACAACAATAATAATAATAGAGGCAGCAGGGAGTGGTGGTGTTGTTCTTTGAGCCAATAAGCGTAAGCTGGACAGGTGAGGGGGCGGAGTTACCGCGAAGGAGGAGAACCGGAGAAACTAAATAATTTCTTTTAAGCGAAGTAAGACGAACTACAGTCAAGAGCAACGACACAGAAGCAGCAGCATCAGCCGAACTGAACTCGGGCGCTGTCTGCACACATACGTACGTATCCAGTCGTCTTGGGGTGGGGGCCGAGCAGGGGTCCCTCGTAGGAGGTTAAGGGGAGATTAACTAACACACCACCAACGTGGGAGTATATATATATATATACACACACGCATACACTCACACATTGCGCCTTTGCGATGGCGTTGAGCTCGGAGCACAAGGGGCAAATGCAGCACCTCCAGCAGCAACTCGGGTGCATTTCCATGCCGCCGGAGGGTCTTGACGAAATGGACTCCAACCCCCTCTCAGCAAGCGCGGTGATGCCGGGGACGGGGACGTGGGCCGCAGCGTCTGTGTCGACAGAACCGGGCTTCTTCTTTAGCGCCGACGCGTTTGCAGAAAAACTGTTTATGGACGACGAAAACAGCGTCTCCAGCAAGGAGGACAACGCCACTGCCGCCCTCTGCAAGAAGTTGGGAGGCGCCGGCAAAGGCACCGTGGCGCGGGATCCTCACTCAGACAATCAGAGCCGCACAAACCTGTTTATAAGTAACTTGCCGCACAAGATGGAGCAGCACGAATTGGAGAAGCTGTTTTCCCCCTACGGGCAGATTCTCTCGGCGGCGGTGATGCGGAATATTCACACTGGTCACAGCCTTGGCACCGCGTTTGTGCGGTACGCCGCGACGGAGGAGGCAACGCGTGCCATCGAGGCGATGTCGGGAAAGCGCGTCAGTGGGCGCGCGATCATCGTCCAGTGGGCGCGGAAGCAGCACGACGACGCCCCCGTCGGTGAGGCTCGCAAGAAAATCTGCAAACTTTTTGTTCGAAACATTCCACTGGACATCAGCGCCACCGACCTTGAGAAGATGTTCAGTCCCTACGGTCCGGTCAAGGCGGTCTCGATTCATAAAGACACCACACCTGACACCGACAAGCGTTTCGAGCGTCACATCGCCTTCATCACGTACCTCGTGGATGGTGCCGCCGTGAGGGCTGCCGAGGCGGTTCACAACACCCGGCCGTTCCCTACCTGCGGGAAAGTCCCACTGATGGTAAAGCTGGCGGAGGACACCCCGCAGCATAACCACCACGGCGCTGGCCGTAGCAGCAGCGGCAGCAGCGTTAACAACACCTTTAAAGGCAATAAGCTGCTGCGGCGTGGCCCGGGGAGAGCGTGTCCCGGGCATGACCCTGGATACAAGGCCGCAGCCACACGAGGATGCTTTCCAGTTGGAGCTGACACACGTGGCTTCGCTGTTGCCCCCGGGTCGTTTGTTCCTGTGATGACGCCCGGGGGCCTCATGCTGCCTGCCTCAGTTCCGGGGGCGGCGGTAGTGGGAGGTGAGCCGATCTACCCGTGGGGGACGCAGATGATCTGGCCGCAGGCGGCGGGAGTGCCGTTGGCGTTTTACGGCGCAGGTGCTGCGGCTACTCCCGCCAACCCACTTACCGTGGGCCACACGCCTCGCACCGTTTCCTCTCCACCGCCCGTCGTATGCATGAATAATGAGGGGTTCACATCGATTCCCGCGTTCGCGGCGCTTTTCTGCCCGGCCACGCCCGAATGTTTCTCCGAGGCGCGGGTGGGTGGGATGGGCGGAAGCTCCGCCGTGGCTGGCGCCGGGTTCTCTTTCTCCTAAAGGAAGGGCAGTTATACGGCGCCACCGGCGGGGCCGGCGGCAGTGATGACCACCCCGCCACAACGCGGCGCCGGGTTCATGTAGTCTTCCTCGAAGCAACGCCTCCCTGCCGCTGGGGGGAGGGGGTGCTGGCACTTTTTTCGTTTTCATTTTCAATTTTGCGTGTGTGTGTGTGGTTTTCATTTTACTTTGATCGAATTGCACGGGCCTACGGCCCCCACTATCCCATGCGGTCTTTGGGGGTGTTGCGGGGCTGAAGCATGGCAGCGTTGAGCGGTGTCGAACGCATTTTGTGTTTTGTCGGAAAAGCGCGGCTCGACCACGTGGTTGCTGCTTGCTGGAACTTTGTAACGAGTCTCTGAGGGGAGGGAGAGCGGGGCGCGGACGAGGAGGAGCAGCGGCCATGTATTTTTGGGGGCCTGCTGTGTAAAGCGCGGGGCGGGGGTGGGGTGTGTGCAACGGTGGGGTGCGAGAGGGAAAGAGGGAAAAGTAACCAGGCGAGGTGCGTGCATGAAGCAGCGTGACACGCACGTAAGCAACAACAAGAAGAAACAGTTCTCTCTGTGTGTTCTCCCGTGTCATTGAAAGTGACGAGAAGGCGGGCTCGAGGCAAACAAGGAGGAGGCTGCCCCGAAGTTTAAAACATAAATGAATACAAACATCAACAACAACAACGACGACACCAACAACAAGAAGTGAGGCTAAATAACGCTTCATGGCAAAGCGAGGGGTGGGAGAGACGGATGCACATACACGTGTGGGTGAACGTGTGGTTCCTTTTGGCTTTTATTATTCTTGGTTTGCCGCGTCCTTACAACTGTGTGCGTGTGTGCATCCATTGCAGAAAAAAAAGAAAACAGTACAGATGGGTAGGCGTGAAGCGAGAGGCGACGGAGAAGAGTAACTACGAGAGGGAAATAATAATACTAATAACGGACGCAGGGGATCATACTTGTATGTTTCTTCACCGGGGAGGGGGGGCCGGTGGGCACGCAGGCTCCCCGCTCCTGCGGGGCATGCGCCCACCGTGCGTGCGCGTGCATGCCCCGCCTTGTGGAATGCTGTGGCGTCTGGCATGCAACGTCGGGGTGGTCACTTTGAGCACATACACATTCCCTCTCTCGTCCTTTCTGGAGCTTCTCTTTTTTTTTTGCTTGGTTGGTTGGTGGGTGTGCTGCTTCTCTGGACGCCATTTATTTGCTGCTGCCGCCGCTTCGCTGCACCACCCTTCTTTTGCTCCTCACTGCTTTGTGGCGACCTTCCTTTTCCTCACCCCACTTTTGGTCGTGTGGTTTCGAGGAGTACGTCGTTCTGCAGTTATCTTTTTGTTTTTTGTCTGTTTTGTCCCACTGTTCCCCCGTTCGACCTTCGGCTTTCGGGGTTTTGTCCCTTTGGGCCACCCACACATTTCGGCCTCTTCTTCTCTACCTGGAGGCATCCTTGTCTTTTTCTTTGTTTGGTTTTCATACATTTAGTTGTGTTTTTCGTTGCCGCCTCTGTGAATTTTTTTTTGACTACGCGCCGCAACCGCCGCCAGTAACCGTCGACGTCATGAGCAGAAAATGCTGCTGGCGTGTTTGTGTGTGTGCGTCTCTCTCTCTCTCTCTGTGTGTGTGTGTGTGTGGGTGTGATTGCGTGCGCCTCTTCAGTGGCGCTCCTGCGCAGGAACTAAGCGGCAACCGCCGGGAAAGCGAAGTGTAATAATAAAACAGCGCAACATCAACAACAACAACAAAAAAAAGGGATGCGTCTGGGACGCGTGTGTGGGGGACGATTTGA